TTAATTTAATATAAACTAATTTTTATTGAAAATTAACCTTTAACAAATAATTTAACCATATCAACATTTTGTGCGTTATCATTAGCGATAACACATAAATAAGCACCTTGATCATCTTTATTAGTGGAATAAATTTTTAAGTAATGATATGTATCATCATAACTTAATTCATATTTTTCATCGTTAACAAGTTCATCATCAGTACCAAAACGAAACCAAAAGACATCAATTGGTGGTGTACCAAAAACTTTTACTTTAAATTTTGCTGTTTCACCAGTACGTGTTGTTGTATCTTTTGGTCTTAAAATAAATTTTGGATCCTTTATACTTGGATCCATACGAAATTTATCTTCATCAGTAAATGTTCTCATTTCAGATAGACTTGGACTTGATGATGCTATTGATTCAGTATCAGACTCATATATATAAGATGGTCGTCGAAATGAACACGATGAATGATTTTGTAAAAGAAGATTAGCTGGTAATGGAAAAAATTTACGTATATTGCTTGATTCGTTATCACTTATTTGTGAATGATCACCAATTGTTACTGTATTTATTGGTATTGGATATGATGAGGATTCATCATCAGCGTATAAATCATCATCAGCAAGATCTTCAAGAGGTCTAGTTTATAAAACAAATATCATTTATTGTTAATTTTAGTTTTTCTTATTATCTTACTTATCACCAATACGAGGACTTAAATTTTTATTATCAGAGATTGGAATAGTTAAATAAACAGCTTCACGATTACTACGTGGTGTTTCTTCACCTGAATGTGAAGAAGGCTAGAAAGAACCAAAAAAAAATGAAGAGATTTTAATAGATAAAAACAAATTGATAACATCAGTATTTTAATCAAGAAATCTATTTCTTTCATAATCATACTTAAATTCTTTAAATTGATAATAAAAATCTATGAGTTCATTGAATACAGGGGCAAGATCATCGATTAAGGAGAGGATAAAGGTGGCTTTTCCTTTTCGAAAAATCTGAAACTTTCTGCAAAATCTTTTACAATCGCTTTCGAAATTGGAGAAGAAAGAAAGCTTTAACTCTATTGTCGATAGATGTTCGTACGAAGATGCTTGTTTCCAGACAAAATATCACAGAAAGATAATCGAAGATACTTTCTGACGAATTTTCAGCTTCTCTCATCCTCAAAAATTAATCAAGAACTTGATTATCTATAGCTTTTTTGCACCAGTCCAAAAGTTAAATTTTTTAAGATATAAAGAAAATTTTCTCTTTACAATAGAAAACTTTCATTCATTGATTTCTTGAGATATCAGAACTTTTATTAGTATATTTACATTCAAATATGTCTTAGTTTACATTGAAAATTTGAGAAGATTGAGATTAAAATTATTTCTAGACTTTTAAAAAACGCAAAAACCTTTCTAAACTATTGAAATCGATTTGATTTTTTTGAAAAAAAAACAAGACTTTTTAATTAAAAATAAATAAATGAAGCACAAAAGTGCTTCCAGAAAATTTTATACGCTTGAACATAATCGAATAGACCCGAGGTCATTTATTGCGAAAAGAAGTTACAACTTCTTTGAAGTAATATACATAATGCGCTCATGCGTCTAGTTAAAAAGCCTCGAGGTTTGGTTTAATTCAAAATGCTTTTCAACCGATTCTTACTGTGCAATTTTCTGAGAAAAAAAAAGAAATGAATCAATTGTAATCATGCGAAGAGTCATACAAAGATGAATTCGTAATGAGATGTTTTCATCTACATCATTACTTATTGAAAAATCTGCATTCTTTTTCAAATATTCTATGGACATATACCTATATTATTTTACAACAATTAAATATCATTATAAAAAAAAAGATTTTTTTTCTTCATAATGCATAATTTCGATTTATTTTACCTTTGATTCAATTAAAGTAAAATTCGTTTGCCAAGCACCAACACGTGAAAATGATCTGTTAATTGCTTCATAATCGGAATCAAGAGAATGTCGATTAGGTCTTGAATTAGATTTTTCATCATCAATTGAACTTAAATCTAATTTAAGACCATTATCAAACTGAATACTGTCTGTTGTCGTTACAGGCTGATTTTTATTAGTACCATGTATTATATGTTCTCGTTCTTCTTCTTCTTTTTCAGTATCTAAGAAGACCAAAAAGAGACCTTTTTTGTTTTTCATGCTGAAATAAAATAAATAATAAAACCTTCTTCTTCGTTGACAGTTGAATTCTTTGGTATGCTTATTTTATGAATATTATCGTTACGAGATTTGATCTATTTCAATGAAAAATATATGAATGATTTCGATGAAAGGTAAAGAAATTTTTGTTTACCTCCCAAGATGTACTTGATGTTCGTGGTGATGAATTACTCCAAGTTGGTTGAAACGATGAAGGTTTTGTAAGTGATGTTAATGATGATGTATTCGATAATTGTTGTTGTGATGTTAGTGGTGGTGCTGACTATAAAAACTTTCAAAATGTAATCGAACATAAAAAATTCATTGTTTTACAAACCGAATCGATAACATCAGGTAGTTCTTGAAAGATTTCTTTACTTACACACTTATCAAAAATTGTTTGTGCTAATTTTTGATCGAAATTATTTGCAATGACAGATGAATTTGGTGCTGTTAATGCCTATTTAAAAAAAAATAGGAAAGTGTTTTAAAAAAGCGTACATTTTCTTTTTTAATTAATTACTTTACGAAAATTTTGTAAATTTGTTTGAAGAACTTCTTCTGTTTGTTGTACTAATAAATTATGTAATTCTCTTTCATGTGTTGCAGTTGGTTTTACATTTGAACCTGTATGAGTAAGAATAGGTTTGAATGATTTTGACGATGAAAATTTTCGTTGTAAAATTAAAAAAATCAATGTTGCAATAGTAGCCACACAGGGAATAGAAACAAGAATATTTTGAAAGGCATACAAAACTTGTAATACAGCTATGTATGATATAAATGAGATAATAAATCGTATGAAAATTGGATGTCGTTCTTGTATCATCAGTTTTTTTTACAATGACAAATAAAAATATAATAATAAACAACAACCGGCATACTTCGTTTTCTTTTCTTTTCTTTTTTTTTTTTTACTACTCTTGAAAAAAGAAAAAAAAATTAAAAGCAGAAGAAAAGTAAAAGAAAACAAATAACGATAGAAAAGAAAAGAAAATTGGAAGAATATTTTGTCAAATTGTCCACCTGTCTACAATTTGATCATATAAATAGTACAGATTAAAAATAGCAATGAAAAAAATCTTGTTTGAACTCATCATATAAAACGTCCTTAAATGTTTCTCTAGAATCACTACGGATGCTTCTTTTATTCTCTTTCTTTTCTTTATATGCCCTTCAACACTTTTGCGTATATGTATTTGCAGTCTAGAGAAGCATTACGCAAAGTATATCGTGTCTTTCTCTTAAGTAAATTATGTTTTGATACGATACCGTATATCAAGGTATCGAATCATTTATCAGAAAAGAAATAACAATTTTTATAGATCTATTACATACATAAAATAAAAGAATTCATTCTTTTGATATACTTACGTCGAAGAGGACCACTAACAGCTACACGAGCACGACCAATTTCAGTTGCAATTTGTTGTATATGAGTTTTGAGACTTTCTTTACCTGTATATATTGAAAAAAGAATGAAATGAAACAAATTAATGTATGAGATAACGAAAAATGTATTAAGGTGTGTTTTTTTTGTGTTAAATTTCAAAATTTTCTATCAAAAGAAAAAGAATAGAAACAAAAATTAGTTCGTTTTTCTTTCCTTGATTTTGTTTTTTCTTTTTAATTATAAAACTTTAAAGATCATTAAGAGGGTTAGGATAGCATTTATATGAGCATCGAGCTCACCGCCTCGTCGAATAATACTTGTAACTGATAAATAATATAAAAGAATTTTAATTTGAAAATCTTTTTTTCTGCTTGACTATTTTATTTTACTTACTTTTTCCTTTTACTGTACGATGATTATTATGTATATTACGTTCACCTAAATCAGCTTGTAATTTATCAACAAGTAAGTGTAATCGTGTAGAATATTCTTTTAATTCACGTTTTACATTTTTATCATAAGTAACATAAGAAATGACAGAACCTAAGATAAAGAATATACATATATATATATATAGATGATTGGATGATTTTATAATAAATCAATTGAATATAAGATTAAAAAGAAAAAAGAAATCCTTAGCAAATAGTCATTGTTACTATTTGCTTATTAAAACCAACCAGAGTCCTTCGAATCACTTGTTGGAAAGGTTCCATAACCGGGATCTTCGTCAAGTTCATCGAGATCAGCTAAAATACACAAAAAAGAAATTGAATATATATTTAATCTCACCTAAATGTTGTCGAGCTTTTGCTTTAATACATGCATTTCGATGGTTCGGATCCAACCATGTTAAACGAACAGAAAGAACATCTCCTCGTCCTCGAACTTTCCATGATGTTAAACGACCATCATGATAAAGTTCTTGAAGAACATTTAAAAAACTTTTTGGAATATTATTTTCAATATCATTATTATCGCCAAATGGAGGCAATTGTTCAAGTAAACTGGCCATTATGATAACAACTGACTATAAAACTTAGTGGGAGGAGAGAATAAAATATAGCTATGTGTGTATAATATGTATGTATGTATGTATGTCTACGAACAAGCCCACTGTCGTCTTCGTCAATAATGCTCATCAATAATTCGGTCAGTATGTGCGTAAATAGCACGTTGTCGGAGATATATATATACATATATATCCTCGCACTGTTCAATTTATATGTTAAGAGAGAGATATGTAGGTCGATGAGCTCAAACCTATGCACTTGACATACAGAATGACGAAAAAAAAGAAAGAAGGAAGAGACCAACGAAAGGATGTTTGGCATAAAATAAATACAAATACAACATAAGCTATGTGAACATGAAGAAAATGAGCGAGACAGAAGACAGTGATGATTATAACAGGAGATAAGACAGAAACAATTGACTATTTAATTAAACTTACCGAGTTCTTTTTCACGTTTATGAAGTTCACGAATTATTTTTGAACTACCACATCGTTTATGTTTCTTGCTTATTTGATGATAAAACCAATTTGAAGTTAAAACTTCAAGTTCTCTAGATAAGACGAAAAACAAAACAAGAACAACAGATAATTAATATTTGTAAAATATATATTAAATAATTCTCTTTAAATAACAGTACTTAGTACATATTAAATAAAATTAATCTCATTGTCTATTTTTTCTTCGATTAGAATTTATAAAATAGTATTCGAAAAGTTGTTTTATATGACATTAAGTAATAACCTTTGAAGAAAATGATCTACTTATTATTAAATAAAACCTTTCATCATATACAATTCCGATAAAAAGAAAAAAGAAAAACATCTATCACTTGAAACACGTTTTTTCTTTCTTTCTTTAACAATCTAATATTTTCATAATCCTTGGCCTTGAAGATTATGATATAGAATCAATTTCGTTTTCAATATGAAAAATACATTGAATATCTATTTTCTACTTTCGTCTTCGACTTGATTTTACAGAATAGAATAAAAAAAACTTTTTCCTTTTTTCACTGCTTTAATTCATTTCTTTTTTTTTGCTTGACTGAGCAAATAATATGTCACACAACGGTAAATTATTTCTTCGCAAATATACAACAAGAAATAACTTATAACACAAATATGAATAAATTTTCTTATGAAAAAAGAAAAAGAAAAATAATAATAATAAAGTCAAAAATCTTACTTTAATTTTAAACATGATTTACATGCCCATGTTTTTGTTTCTGATGTATATGTTGAACAGTCTGAACAAACAAATAATTTGCATTCCGAACAAGTTTTTCTTGGATTAAATAGAAATCGAAATGGTTTAAAACATCTTATACAACGTTCAAGATTAAATTCTTTTGAAGCAGCTAAATATTCTACACGTTCATTTTCTTGTCGAATTACTTTTTTTAATTCTCTGAAAAACAAGAAATCGTATTCTATATAAATGAATGTCAAAAAATAAAAACATATAATTTACTCTAATCGTTTATATTCTTTTTGTCGAAGTTGAAAATCACGTTCAAGAACTGCAACAATACGTTTACATTCTTCGTCATTTAATAATGATAAATCCGATGATCGTGATGTTACAGATTTTGCTTCTAAAATTTTTTAATTTCGAGTTTTTATTTAATAGAATAAGAAAAACCTACCAGATTCAGAAACGCTTGAATTTCGTGGCATCTTAATAATTTTTCAAATAAAAGGGATTGATAATTAAATCATAATATATGATTACCGAGAAACAATTTTCGGTTTGATTATATAGGCACACTAGTCAGTAATGCTTTGCGTATATTTCTTTTTCGATCCTCTTTGTGCTGTTATATAAAAGAAACTGAAAGACGAAATCACAGTGAAAGAGTAATGTGTGTGTAATAATATAAGCGATGGTGTATATTGGCGTCACTCGTTTGTTATGTTTCTTGTTTTTTTTTTTCTATTTTGTGTCACTAACTATGGTATAGAACATGTATACATTGAAGAACTGGCAAGGTAAAGCGAAAAAAAACTACGCTATTATCAATAGATGGTTATTTCTGTCATGTAAAAATCAAAATATTTTTCCCTGTTCTTTTTTCCAAAGAAGCTACACCTCAATTAAAATCCGTCGGTTATTTCTCAATTGGTTTATTCGAAGACAATCTTATATATAAACATATATATACGCATATCTGAATCGTATCATAAATCAATGTAATATGTTTTCATTTTTTAAACAATAAATCATCAATATTATGCTAATCTGAATCGCTATAAATAGTTATCATTGAATATGAGCCAAAAAATATTTATATTCAATTTGATATGTATGATGAATAAGGACGCACGCCTAATGTTTGAATGACTCAATAGTAATTATTATGAATACAAAAGATATTTTTCCGTTTTGTTCGAAAGCGACAATACCTCAATAATTACTGTATAAAATGTTTTTTTTTTTCTTATTCGAAAACTTGTAATCTTACTGAATTTTGATATTAACTATAGATTTTTACAAATAAGAGTCATTCTTATCAACAGTGAAAAAGCTTCAAAATGAACAAATTACAAAATGATTATTGATGTATATGTCGGAGTAGAAATTAAAATTCTACTAGTAGAACTTAAAATATTAATTTCTAAACAAAAGATTAAAAATTCAAATTTTAAGTTCTACTAGTAGAATTTTAATTTCTACTACAACATATATATATATATATGTTTGATGTTTGTGTGACATTTATATTGTATTCTATTCAGTATTTCATGCTTCATTAGGTATTGTTCTCAAGCCATTTTCTTAGTATGACAATTTGTATTAGTTGATAGTAAGATGTCATCTATGAAATACTGTATTTATTTCCTAAACTTTCAATATATTTTTGTCTATTGTTGACATTTAGCTTAGTGAAATTCAATCGATTGTTGATTTAAGTTGGATTTCAATTGTTTTGTTACTCATATTGAAGTTTTAATTCTTATTAAAATAAAATTTGATTTTGACAGATCTGTCAATCAAATAAGTAATTAGTTTTCTAGCAGCAAAATATGTTTTAAAAAAATAACAAAACCAAATAATATTTGAACGATGATTAGTTTAGATAATATCTATCGAAACATAGCTCTCTAATTTAGGTCAAAACATTCAAGGTAATCAAGATCAAAAAAAGTCATCAGTGTTTTTTGATTGATTAATTATTTTGAAAGATCGATTAAGATTTTCGTACTGTTGATAAATACACAAGAATAAAAATAAAAGTAATATTTCATGTCTAAACATGAATAAGACTTTTACCAGGTCAACAACTCAAAAATGTCAAAACAGTAATTTTTCTATAATAATTATTCTTATTGATTAAAACATGAAAATTGGAAGGAGATATTTATATATATTTCTATATTCTGATTATGTTCTCGTTTAATTACTTCAAAAATTGATATAATTTGACAACACAGTGATGTTAGTTTTCATCACGATCCAGGTCATTAGATAATTTACAAACTATGTTGACGGCAACTACTAACTGATGCTGATCAAATTTTATAATTGTGAATATTTGCTCTTTTTTTGTTTCAATGAATCACTCATATCAGACTGATGCATGCTAGTTTTGCTGTGCTTCTAGTTTCATAATAATAATTTGACTATTTTGGTGTCTATTCAAAACTTTGACATTACCTTTATACAATATTGATACAAAAATATAAACATCAATATTTTATATAGATTGAGCCACACTAGTGCACCAAGGTAAAAACTTGACATTTCTCCGCTCCAGTTCGCTTGAATGATTAGATCGTTTATTTAATGGTACAAGCTTATTCAAAGTCCTTTTTTTCATTCGTATAACACAAATACTACTGTCAGTGTGTAGCTTTGACCTTCCTAAAGAAATTTTACATATTGCGAAGCAAGAAAAATACATACGAAGCATTTCATAGATCATTTTCAGTTACCATCTAAAAGAATAACAAGAAGAAATCAAATTGAACCTTATAAATGTAACCATAATGATACGCACATAGAGCTTAGTTTTAGAAATAGTTAAATCAAAAGCTTACGTTTACAAAAAGAAAACTGAAATTTATTCATAGAACGTTTCATATGTTTTTTTTTTCTTACTTAATAATAAATGAAATTTTTTCAAAGAGGTCAAAAATATAACTTCGCAGTAATATTTGTTTTATGTTAACCATATGAAATAAAGCTTTAGATAATTGTCTACAACGAACTTAAAAAATCAGCCAATTCGAGCGAACTGGAGCGGAGAAATTTCAATTTTTTATCTTACCCATATTCATGCTTCGCTCTGTATATATGATTTACATCCTATTTAGTCTGAATGGGTACCAGTCAATTATTTCTCAATTTGATCACGATATTATCAATTACATTGATATATAATGATTCTCAATATAGTAGAGAATAACTCGTGTGATACAGAAGAACAAGAAAAATACAAACGTTATTAATATTTATAACATGTAGGCACGCAATATGTATATAATGAAAAACGTTGAGTAGTTTGTTTTTATAGTTTTGCTGCATTGAATAATTAATTGTAAATCTTAAAAATTAAGTGCAAGGGCATAACGCTGTCTGGTTGTGCATTACATGTTACTTGTTATTCGCTTTTCATATTCAACATGCGTGTCGTAACCATGATCATTGACATGTCTTTTGGTTTAAGCCGGTGTATCGACAAGGTTCTGCTCAACCGTCGATCATTTAAGAATAAATTCTTTAAATGACTATTGATGGGAATAAAAAAAAATAGGTCTATCATCTTTTTTTAATTTGATGAATTATGATCGAACTGAAAAGAGGTTGGAATGAGAATGAGTCCAAGTGAGAAATCATCGAATGAAACTGCATCGGAGACTGCTCGTATATCTATATACACATATCATATTTTGATTGTTGATTGCTCATTAATTGAAAAATGATCGCATTTTGAAAAAGCAACCAAAACGAGACAGTACGATTTTAATAATTCTAACAAGCAATTATTTTTTTCTCTAATTTAGTTACTTAATTTTCAGCCGCCATTAAGAAGTATTTTTGTTCCAAAAAGACTGAAAGAGTCATCTTTCATTTGACTTTTCGTAAGGACTTTTTTCTGAATAAGGTCTTTCAGCATACACAAATGTAAGAATGCTGATTCTTTCAACTGATTATCAATTAAAATGTAATTAGCTAATATTTCTCTAACCATAATAGAAAAAAACACGAGAGCTTCATGATAGGTTCGACGACACGAATCGCATCTCAGGTAAAATTCTCAGCAAAGTTGTCTCGAACAAAAAGATTTCTATCGAACAGTCATCCAGAGATTCTGTAGAAGGATTCGTACCGTTTGGAATGATTTTTGAACTTCTCGCTTAGTTACAAGAGCGATTTTTCGTTTGTATATTCGATTCTATTACATCGCTAGCAAAAAGTACATCGATTTTTTTTTGAGAAATCTAAGCATGGTCAGAAACAACTTGCGATCGAGATTTTATATCGTTAGACGTTATCTACATATAGTTTTCAAAAATGTTGTCTCAACTAGGAGTTGTTTTTAACTAGAATGCATGAAGTAACAGTGAATGCCCTTTTTTGTGTCATGTCACAAACGCAATTTATTTTTACTGATAGCTCCTGTGAACAAAGATTTCTAGTGCTGATTTTTTCAAGATATCTAAACATATATGTATCATATAAAAATTAACTCCACGAAAGCTCCTGATCTTGAGATACACATATTGTAAATTTATGAAATCACGCCAGTAATGAATGATTTGATACATATATTATTTATTATCTATTTATACATTTTTACCTTTCTGCATAGAAAATAATGTACTTAAAATTATTAAAATAATAAAAGTTTTACTTAGTTAAGAAAAATGAAACTAATTAGTTGACGTATATATAACCAACAAGCAAAATTATTTATGGCTATCAATGCATTCGAATACCATACTCTCCTAGTTTTGTAAATAAGTCGTAGAAATCTTTTAGTTCATCTTTTTTCGATGTTGAATTATTAGAAACATGTTTTTCAAAAAATAATTCATCTAATAATTGTTTCATTAAGGCACTTTCTAATGATGGTTTATCAATATCAAGTTTAATAACAACATAATCATTAGGTTTAGCTATAGATTCAAGCATGTTCCAAGCATTAAATTTCCCTATTTTTGCTTCAACACCAACATTAATAAATGTATAAATTGGATAAACATCATCAGGAAGTTCATCTCAAACACGACGACTTCCTAATTTCTGATATTCATAAGCAATAATACGATCAAATCGAATAGATTTTTCTTTAAAATAATCATAACACCATGTTATACCAATTTCAGCTATATTTCCATTTCGACTTTTAAAATATGAACTGTCAATATCAATAAGAGTTTTTTGTGAACCCGATGTATAAAGCCATAGTGCAAATGAAGTCATAGTTGTTGTCAAAGGTGAATCGATATGGAATGGTGATGAAGATGCAAAAAGAAGGAAACGCTTTGAATGAAGAGCAAATTCACGAGTAAGATAAAGATTCGACGGAACAGAAGAAATACGAGGACACATTGTTAATGGATCACGAATAAGATCAACTAATGGTTCAATTAATTGAATTGCATGATATTCTTTATTCGAACATATCCGACAATAGTACATTTTTGAAAGTTGATTATCAATAGACATTCGTTGGCTGTTGATTGAAGTATATAGCCTAGAAACATGCACCCACTCTTCTCGTCTTCTCATTCCACAGACTCGAACAGATGTTGTTAATATGTGATCAACGACCGTATATGAATAACGAATCATTAAAATATATTAACTACTCGTTTAGTATATTTCTGAAGGATTAAGCAAAAGGAGACTGATGAAATATGTCCCAAAATAGATAGAATAAAACAATCTCCTTGTGATTAGTAATACTTCCTATATCGTGTTACACATTTTAATCCTGCAGAGATTGGGCTTACAGCTTTTGTTCTAGCAAGTATTATTTATTAAAATAAGAAAATAATAAGACATTTCAAATCAATTCTTCTCTAATATCATCGATTGAAAACAATGTCAAGATGGACTTCAAATGATGAATAATCAGTGGCATATGATAAACCGAAGAAAACATTGCCCTCTATTTAGAATACTTCTCAACACATTAGAGACTTAATTTGAGGCTCATTCACTGAAAAAGTTCCTGTACTTCAAAAATATCGTCTTTATTTGTTAAATAACACTTTTTTTTTATCATTGCAAAATTTAAAAGATAAACACCTAGTCAATCAATCATCTAATTACGGCGGCTAAATAGCGAGAAAATTACGAAAATTTTTTCATAAGGATTTCTCTGAAACTTTAAATATGCTACAAAGTTTTCTACAAAATTTTGTATGTTTTGATATATGTTTCAGAATTTTAGAAGAATCATGATGTGCTGATATTTTTATTAACAATTTACAGAAAATTAAAATGAGTACCGGGAGACTGATATAATTAATACTCTGCTAATCTTGCTTCTTTAGATTTTACGTGTACACTACGACTGTGTAATACTGCTAATAAAAGAATACTTGATAGTATTTTGAAAAGTCTTAGTTTTAGATAGTTTCATTCAAATTTTAAATTTACAATTTTACCATTCATAGCTTGTCATGCCATTTAACATAAGATATTGGAAAATTTTGATAGAACTAGTAAAAATCTGAATTGAATTTATTTTTAGTAGTTTTATAATAAAATATTTAATCATATTCAAAAATATTTTTTTAACTTTGTATATTTATGTGCCAGCTATGACATTTTCTGAAACATATGCTTATTTCATTTACATATTCGATCGTTTATTTTCTTACTGTAGTGTAATACGTAGTATTAAATAAAGAGTCACCATTAATATACTTCAATTATAATAGAATTTAATATTATCAGTATCGTACTCCAATAGAACAGAATCATTTAATTAGCTTATAGTTTTAACATATTTTTTTCTAAGAATTGAATATTTACATTTCTACTACAATATTTTCATGTATAAATGTAGAAAACGAATAAGTATCACTACTAAGCTCTTTTCACAAACAACCAGCTTCTAAGATCTGATATTCATAAATAATGATATGATCCAATTGAATTGATTTTTATTATGAAATAATCGTAAAATCATTTTGTACTAATTTTGACTTCTCAAAATATGAACTTCCAATATCAAGAAGAATTTTTTTTTGTGAATCAGATAAATAAGGTCGTGGTGCAAGTAAAACAAAAGTTTTGGTGCAACTAATAATTAATAATAGTTGACATTATTTTATTATTCGTATTCAATGTAGACGTTTGAAATGACATAATATGACAATATCCGAACATCATATATTGTGAATTTGAACAAATTGTAAGTTTTAATTAGTTTTTACTAAATTTTCTATAGATATATTACTCATTATCTATATCTTCATTAATAAAACATAAAACAATAACTTTAAAAAAAAATACTAATGAAATATTTAACATTTTTAAAACATTTATTTAGTACTTACTATGAATACAAGATATTTTCATTATATTACAAATAAATGAAACTATATTCATAATTTAATATATCACATCTGATTGATAAAATATCAACTGTAAGTGATACATATTGTTATAAGATTTTGTGTGCAATTTCGTTTAACATTATCAATACATCTTATAATAATACTTCTAATATCCGCGCCAGAATGAAAGAAGTCTGGATGTAAGTTCAGTAACTGAATAGTGGCAATATTTATCAACAGAGAAGAATTCCAGACGTTTTCTTTTTTTTGTCTCATAATATACAAAACAAAATTATTTTACAACTCATCATCTTCTCAAATTCTTTAAAATGAAATGCATAAAAACGGTATTCCATTTCAATAAAACTTTACTAAACATCAACAGAATTCAGCCGAACAGATACGTTATTTTACTTGCTAAATCTTGACTTGAAAAAACATAATCACCTGAATCATTAATTGAACTAAACATCTGAAGTCCCTCTACCTTAATCATATGTTTTTTTTAATGCTTGGTGACGATGATCAATTTTAAAATAATTTTATCATATATGTATAATATCAGACAAAAGGACGTTCGAAGCTTCACTCTCTCGATCGATGAAACCGTAGATTGCTAATTATTGCCATTGCTGAATTATTGAACTTAGATTCAGATCTCTTTAATTCAGAAGCAAACATTAGTTTAAATTACTTCATGATACAGACAAAACTGAACATGTACCATCGATCAATAAACATATTACAGTAGCAAGCGACAAAAACACTACAACTGAAGTTTATTCTTATGAATCGGATTTATTTTTGAAGGAAAAAAAAAAAATACATATTTTATGATTATGTGCTCACTCTATTTATTAGACTCTTGTCATTTTCGATTATTTGGTGAACATGTAATGATCTATAATCATTTTTTCTTTCTCTATTATATAATGTGCACTTGTATCACTTCTTGTATAAATTATTCTTTTAGTATGTTTTTTTTTATTGAATACAGTATTGATTGGTCACGAATCAATGGACTGATATTTTAATTGAAACAGGTTTTGTTTTTCGTTATAATGTATTTAAAGATTTTTCTTTCATGAATAAAACCTCAATGATATATTACTAACAACCAAAAGGCTTATAATATAAAGAATAATTGAATATGAAAATATAAAATATTCGCAGACTGTTTGAGGTTTCTTAAATATATTCTTGAATAAAATTTACTAATAGATTATTGTATACTTCATCGGTTGTATAATTTGGTTAGATATGAGATATTGATGTACGTCAATGATCAGGTTAGGGGTCTTTATTTTAACGTTACGTTGCGAGTATGGTATAATTATCATACATAAAATTTTTAAAAGAAAGTTTAATACAATATAAAATAATCTTTAAGTTTCAAACTTTCAATCATCATATTCAATATTTATTAGTATTATAAATCTCTATTTTTGTAGTATTTACATATATATTTCCGTAAATTTATTCTAATCATAAACTCAAAATTTTATAAGAGAAATGTCAAAGAATCATCCGATGAAATTCTAAATACTCATTTTACAAAAAAAAAACGGTTTGATTTTTTACACCTTTACATAGCGTTGAAAAAAAATGTATATAATTAAGATAAACGAAAAAAAAAAAGGTTATTATACATTTTTTTTTTTTCAAAAGATAATTTATCTGTCAATATCAATCTATTATCACAATCAAATGTGACAGAATCATGTCGGCAATAGATTTTCTTTGATGAATCATAATCTGTTCATTTGTACACAAGGTCATAAAAACTAACTTCAATAATATATCTTAAAAGCTATTATTAATAATAATTCTAAGAAGTATTTATCATTAAAAAAAGAACAATTCTTTTTTATTAGAAAAAATCATTCATTTGAAAGTATAGAAGAAAAAAAAACATTTGATTTGAAAGATCATCTTTCTACTATTGAATAGGATTTGTTTACAAAATTTTGTATATTGTTGACATATCTTCTCTTTCTCACTTTATTTAGCAAACAATATCATCCGTTACTTAATAAACCTGAAATTTAATGTTTTCTCAACTGTTAATTTAATTCAAAAAAATATTCATCTTCATCAAGCTATTTTTACACAAAAAAAATATAAAGACAAAGAAGAAGAAAAAAAATTCATTGGAAAAAAAATGCTGTAGGAAAACATAAAATTCAAATAACTTTTTCTATTTATTCAACAATCGACAAATATGATTTGATATTCTATTTCAATGATTGTCTTCCATCCGATCTAATTAAAAAAAAATATATATATATATATACATATATTTCTTCATATCAATGAATCTAATCATGTGTATATGCTTGTATATATTTTCAATCAAAATTCAACAGCTTATATCTATATAAGTATTTGATTGAGTAAAGGCTCTCTTCTTATTGTATGATAAAGACTAAAGTATGTATGTTTCGTCTCTATCTATATATTGAGTAGGCCAATCAACATACTCAAGTTTATCCATCTTTTCTATTATCTCTATCTTTTAAAGACTGAAGAACGAAAATGATTGTTGATGCTGTGCAGCGGCCAATTTTAACTTCTTTCTTCTTATTGTTTCGAATTCGTCGTGTATGTGCCCGAAAGCATCTCTCATACGTTATTCACTTGCATATTGAGCTGTTATACATTCTTGAAACAAACAGAAAAAAGAAAAGAGAGCGAAAAAGCAATCAAGCAAATTCATATTCCATTTCCATTCATATGAGCTTTCTTATTGTCACAACACTTGGCGCGACTCTTTTTTTTTTTTTCTTCTATTGTTGTCTTTTACTTTTTCATACGATGTGATGCCGATATCAGTCGATGAGAAATAATCATAATACATATAATAGAAGTCGGCATGTCGGTGTAGTTCTCCTTTATCTTTTCTATTGTCATTCAATATTGATTTACTATCTTTTCATGCCATGATTTCAATGTCTTTTATTTAAATCGATAATGCCAAATTATGAATTTTTTTTTTCTCTTTCGATTTCTGTTTTTTTACTTGGAAGATCCTTAAAGACTCATTGTACAAACATCAAACTTTAATCAAACTTTATATTTCGAGCATAGGTATGTATGCATGTATGTATGTGAAAAGAAAAATGAGAAAGAAAAAGAAAATAATGTGATGCATTCGAG